CCCCATTGGCCCGGGACGGCGAACCGCGGCCAGTTGGGGCCATGATCAGCCGAACCTGCCGCGTCAGCAGGTAAATAAACTGGCCCGGCTCGCCAGGGTGCTTACCCTGGCAAGCCGCGTGCCAAACGTTGCCGACCCCTGCTTTAGGCTGATTAGCCTGACATCGATGCCATGCAAATTCATGGAAAGGCCAAATATGGGAAACTATTGGTAATTAATTAAAATGACAATAGCATAATCAATTACATTAACAGGTTTATGCAAAATAGGTCTTGTCACACAAACATTTTTTGGTGAGATCACAAGTTTAGATGGTAAAAGTAACTCTGATGACTTCTGTAAAGCATTTGACGTAACCCTCCATGACATTCTGATAAAGTTAGCACTATACAAAATCATATTAATGGACTAAAAGTTGATTAACAGAGATCCCAAAAAGTAATTGTAAATGGGAAATTGTCATCCAATGGGGTTGTGTCTAGCAGAGTCTTAAAAGCAATCTGCTCGACTCACTAATAATCAATTTTTATAAATGATGTGGAAGAAAAAATAATTGCTGGTAAAATTTCCAAATTACACTAAAATTGGTAGCGTGATAAATTAAGATGGGCACAGGTCATTTATACAGACTAATCTGGATCACTTGGTAAGGTGGGCTCATCTGAACGTGTATTTTAAAACAAATAAATGAAATGTAGGAACAAAGAATGTAGGTCAGATGGGGGCTCTCTCCTGGAAAGCAGTAACTATGAAAAGGAAGGGTTCATGGCAAATAATTAAGGCTAAGATTTAGTCACGGGTATTTTTGGTAGAAGTCATGGACAGGACAAGGGCAATAAATAAAAATTCACGGCCCATGACCTGTCCATGACTTTTACCAAAAATACCCGTGACTAAATCTCTACTTCTGGGGCCCCGCTGCTCTGGGGTACGCCTGCACTAATGCTGGGGGTTGACTGACCCCCAGCCGCTGCTCCTGGGGACTGCTCTCCGGACAGCCTCCAGGCGCTCCTTGGGCCACTGCTCCAGCCACCCTGGGACTGCTACTGTTCAGGAGGTCCCCAGGGCACCCCCATGACTGCTGCTTAGGCACTCCCCGGACCTGCCACACTGGCCACTGTTCCAGTGGTCCCCGGAGCCAGCTGCCCGGGACTGCCTGAGCAGTGGCTGGTCCCGGGGCAGCCCCTAAGGCCAGCCGAGCGGGACCGCTGCATGGGCAGTCCCCAGGACCAACCGGCACCGGCTGCTGCAGAAGTCACAGAGGTCATGGAATCTGTGACTTCCGCAACCTCCATGAAAGAATTGCAGCCTTACAAATAACCAACTGAACTTGAGCTCCCAATGTGATGCTGTAGTTGAGAGAGCAAATTAATCCTTGAATGTATATGCGGTGCATATCAAGTAATAGTAGGGAGGTAGTATTCTTGCTGTATAGAACATTAGCAAGACCATTACTGGAATGATGTGCCAAGTGCTGGTTCCGCATTTAAAAAAAATATATTGAAAAATTGGAAATGGTCCAGAAAACAGCTATAAGAACGATTCAAGATCTGGAAAACATGCCTTACAGTGAGATGCTAATATAGCTCAATCTATTTAGTTTAGATAAGAGAAGGTTAAGAGGTGACTTGATCATGATCTAGAAATGCCTTAATTGGGAAGAGAGATTTCTGATAGACTGAAAAAAGCAAGAGATTCAATGGTTGGAAGCACAAGTTAGACAAACTCAGACTAGAAAAAAGGCACATTTTTAAACAGTGGGGGTAACTAGTTATGGGAACAACTCCTCTAGGGATGCGATGAATTCTCCATCACTTGATCTCTTTCTAAGAGAGATGCTGTAATTCAAACAGAAATTGCAGGCTTGATGATGAAATTACAGGGTGAGGATTTTTTGGCCTGCATCATGCAGGTCAGACTAGATGACCATAATGGCCCTTCTAACCTAAAAATCTACTACGTATTTTATTATATCCATTAAACAAATGGGGAACCAAGGCACAGAGAGATTTACATGCCCAAGGTCCGACAGGAAGTCTGTGGTTGAGTCAGGAACTGAACCCTTGATTTCTTGAGTTCCAGTCCAGTGCCCTAACCACAAAAGCATCCTTCCTCTTTAAGGAATGAAAATTATTTCTCACAAAGAAGTTTTTAAAAAGCACATAAGACTACAAGTCTCATGAATAAGGTCAGAGGAATAAATATTTAAGAGATGGCCAAGGGATAAATTCAAATAATTTAAAACAAAATCTCATGGTTTTAAAGAGTGTTAGGACAAATCCTTGGATGCCACTATGCAGAATCTCTGTCCACCGAAGCCTGTGGTCTATGCTATAGGTGTATGTTCAGCTGCAAAGTGCAGAATGGCTAACCGACCGATGGGTCAACATCGGATACTTCGAAATTAGCATGAGAATGGCACTGTTTCCTATAACTGCTTAAACCCCCCCAAAACAGAACAGGCTGGCATGCCCCAGTATACAAGACAGCATGGAGCACATAGAGGTTAGAGCAAGGAACAGAGGAGTGAGCAGAGCTTCCATTTTCACAAACCTATTATTCAAAGTCCTTTCTCTAACCCCCTCCCTTTCCAAAGTGGCCAGTCAGACTCTGTCTGACTTCAGACAATCTTATACAACAGCTCCCGATGAAACGAGGTCACACTCACCTTGCCCCTACTTAAGCAGCAGCATGCTTAGACCCAGCCCTCTGAGATGAAGAGCAAATTTCCCAAGCACCTTCAAGTACCAGCATCTGGACCACAATAGAGGGATTGTTTTCACTACGGGGGTAAGTCGACCTAAGTTATGCTACTCCAGATACATGAATAACGTAGCTGGAGTTGACGCAGCTAGGGTCAACTTACCCCGGTGTTTTCACTGCACTGAGTTGACAGGAGACGCTCTCCAGTTGACTTCCCTTACTCTTCTCGGAAAGCTGGAGTACCAGGGTCGACTGGAGAGTACTCTGCCACTGGTTTAGCAGGTCTTCACTAGACCTGCTAAATTGATCCCTGCTGCATCGATTGCAGCAGCGTCAATCTCCCAGGAGTGAAGGCCAGCCCTTAAGAATCAGGAAATAAGAAGGAAGTCCCGGTCTCACACAGGACACAGCATGGCTATAGCTGTTCCTTCACTGTTATCTTGGCTATGTATGCAGTGTCTAGGGGGCTGCTCAGGTAATTTAAGTATAATCACATAACACAATTTTCTTTTTAAAAGCTAGAAATAATTTAGCAGTACTGTACACATTTCGGACAGGGGAAGAATGAGTGAAATACAGAGGCTTCCTCTCTAGCTAGCTTTAGAGAAAATATCTCCTTATGATCCTACTTAAATTACGTATTAAAATACAGCCTGAACAAAACCCATTTGAAAGGCAGTATACACCTTAGTATACAAGTCAAGAAATATTGCACCAAATTCAAAACTGTCTCTTCAGGGTATGTATTTCTTTTTGGGAAGTATAACACAGCTGCTTGGCTTATATGTTACATTTTGAGTAATGTTATTTTTCTTCTTCTGTGATCCACCACAGACTCCACTCTCTCCCCCCCCCTCCCCAAACACTGTTTATCTTTTTCGTATAGTTACCATCTACATTTCCACTCACACAAAATTCACACTGATGTCAGTAGCAATTTTGTCTGTGCAAGAACTGCAAGTTCAGGCCTTCACTCCACAGTGCACAAAAGTCATGTAAACTACATAGATGGGCAATTTACATTTACAGTTCCATTGAATGCTCTGTGAACATGGTTATTTTAGAGTGCCTTTTAAAGAGAACAGGAATACTACAGGAAAGAAAAAATAAGCAGAGGATTATTTTATGAAGCAAACTGTAGAACAAGAAAAGATAGAGTCCCATACAGAAAGTAAAACAGGATCAAATAGAAATGAATGGGATTTATATTTTGGAGCCACCCTCAGCAATCATTTCTTCTGTCTGGTTGCATGCTGGAAAAGGACTTTAGAAAAGGGTCACACTGCTTGAGCTGGGGAAGCATGAGAAAAAACAAAGCTTACCTTGTACAGAATTCCCAATAGTTTGGTTACCTAGCAACATAACGCTACTGCCTTTACCCATGTCCTTATGTAAAACACAACTAAACAAGCTTTGTACATCTGAGCTAAAATGAGTCGTTGTGATGAAGTTAAAAGGAAACCACCCCTCCTCAGCTGGAAGTGGGTACTCTAGATATCCTCTAGGAATTATTTTGGGGCAAGTTCTAGGGCCTGTGTTATACAGGTCAGACTAGAAGATCACAACAGGCCTTGGAGTCTGAGTTCATGGGCTACAGTAGTAGTTAGGGTCCCTGCAGACCCAGTAACAAAGGGAGCACAGGGCTAAGGATCTTAGTAGTGTCAAGTCATAGTCTCATTTACACACAGCCAGCTCTCCCATTGAGCTGCTACAGTCTTCACAGAACACAGAATACTATGCCCTTGGCTCAGCCTTTCAGTTTCAAATTTTACAACCAGTTGGCCCACTGCCTTGTGAGTTACAAACCCTGAAGTCTTTGCCTCCTTGAGAAAGCAGGTGGAGTCAGCACTTTTCTTAGATTAGAGGCAATATACATCCATGGCTCTATGTATAATGCAGTTGCGGGTGTCTATGCAAACGGCTGCCTGTTTTTTCCATTTTAAAGTTTTTTTATTATTGTGCTCCAGCACCTAAGCTTTTATTTAAAAGCTAAGCCTAAATCTTAGGAGTGAAAAAATAATCTTCAAAATGTGCACCAATAAACTCATGCTGCACCATATGCAGAGCTTGCACACAGCATGACAAAATAGCTCAGAGAAAGATGAACTGCTCCTATTAATCAACATTTTGGGGGGGGGGGGACCTCAACTCTAATGACAAGTTAAAGATCAACATGGTTATTTCACAACTGTTTAGATTAGCAGGGGAAGGGGGGGGGGAAATCAAGCTAATGCCCGAGGTTTTCCTTTAGTGGTTTTAGGTCACCACTTTGAGAGATTTTTAAAGGAGTCTTTTTTTCAGGAAAAAATGCTTTCAAAAATAAAACCCCTTTAAAGATGTCTCAAGTGGAGCACAGAAAACTTTATGAAGCTGTTACAGGATACTGTTTATATGAAATATATAGAAAATCTCATTCTACTCAGGTTCCTGTACCATGCAATCCAACCACTTCTATTTCACTGCATTTCTTAAGTTACATGTTTATTCATTTTTCATAGTTAAGACAAGTGTAGGTAAACCATTAACCTTTCAAAAATTAATGCCGAGCTCTTCCATGCATGTGGAATTACTTGCATGTGGAATATGCTTAACATTCAGGGAACTACTGTGCATTGTGTAGGGTTTTTAAAAAAACAAAAAAAAATAAGACATGACTTTTCCTTGCAATTTTCCCTTTTAAATTTCCTTTCTGAGAACTAAACAAGTTAAAATTCTTTTTGCCTGGAAGTTCAAATGGTGAATTTTAAATTCTGTCCTCTAGGTCTTTCAAAAGAAGGTGAAAGACATACCATAACCCTTTTATATCCTGGAGGGGCAATATTGAGGTAATATAAAAGGGCAAGAAATCCCTCAGTCACTGAGGAATGGTGATGAACAAAACCCCAACAGTAGTTTTCACAGTCTTCTGCGGTAAGTAGGGATTTGCCTATGACATAATATAGTTTTGCAAGCACAGGTTAAAAGCCAAATATGATTACAAAAGCCTGCATAAAATCAAGTATGCCACTGACATTTTAAATTTGTATCTCAGGATGATTAGGTAGTGGAGCTAGTGAAAGTTTTTTGGGAGGATGGAAGACATCCTGTACAGATTTCAGAATGTTTTCACCTTGCTTTTAATCCAGATTAAGAAACTAAATATTCAGACAATCTTTCAGTCTGAAAGAGGAAATATAAGGGGGTGGGGAGAAGAGGAAATCTGAAAAATGTAAAGGTGAAAAAGGGTAGCAGGTCACCGATTATGAGCTGTACTCTGAAAAGCTGAAAACAGGTTAGAGGTCCTAGAAATGGATGCTTGCAATTTAAAAAAAAAATTAATCTACTAACCACCTTGTCAATTATATTTCTGTGCAGTAACAGAATATCTAATATGGGCAATCTGTATTCCATTTACATTGATTTGTTTTGTAAATAAATTGTAAATATTTTACCTCTTAAACAGCAGCAGTTACCAGGCAATCCAAAAAAGCCTAAATTCATTCTGAAAACATATCACAAACTGGAACAAGACATTAATGGCACTTTTAATGTATCAATTTATTGCACGTCAGTACATAAAAATAGAATGTGTTTTGTAAAATCAATTTTATTGTAAAAACCAGACTAGAATGAAAGTGTTTGTAAAAACTGCAATGGTTAGCACGTATACTGACACATTTATGCTTAGGGGACAAAATATAGAATTAGAAGTACTACTTCGTAGGATACTTAAACTGAATACTAAAAAATTAAAGAAAATTCATTCCTTGAACATTCAATGACTGACTTTAAATTCGGAACACCAGCTTTATTTAGCTATTGAATATGCTTTAGCTATATAGGCTTCTCTCTTCTGCACGATTCTACTGTAAACTATACAGCCAGGACAGCATTATAAATTGTTCTAAACGGGACACACCAATCGTAGTTTAATCCCATCCTGTGCAGGAGGCATTAGTTTTATTTTTGGCAAAGTGTCTCTTGCAAATTGGCACATCATTCTTTTAAAATGCACTTGAAGAAAGTGATTTATGAAATATAACTGAAGGTATATCTGCATCTCTTTGCTAACTGAAAGTGTCAAATCATGTAAACTTGTCAAATCTTAGGATTTTAAGGTCAGAACTATTCACTTTTACATTTGTCACCATAAGAACATCCAAGGTGACACTACTAATTAGTCAGAGAGAGAGAGAGAATGGGAGAGTGCATTTACCCTTACAACTGGGAGATTGCCCACAAATATCAAGTCTGCCAAGTATGTTTGTGCTGTATTCTTTTACCTGAGAATGGACATGAGGGCACCTATATTAGTCATTTCCCCCCCACTTTGAAAGCACAGCTTATATCTTTGCATTTCACAGTTTCAGAACTAGATATTGGGAATGTAAACATGGGCCAACAGGAAGCATTGTTTCCACTAATTACATCGAGAAATAAAGTACTATTGCCTGGGGGGGATTTATCACAAGGACACTAGTGGCACAGCTACTCTATTTTGACACCCAATTCTTTTGAAGTTATATATATATATATATATATATATATATATATATATATATATATATATATATATATATATAA